TTTGCTGGACAAAGCACTGAGTACGTCATCTACTGATGCACATGAGCAGACGATAGAAACAAAATGGAAAAGAAGAGAAAGAGAGTGAGAAAAAATGGTCACACCAAACATACAAAGCTCAAAATGAACACAATATTTGATAAGTTGCTTCAGCTATAGCGACCTATAGTGTGTTAGTAAGGCCCCTGGTGTAGCCCAATTTTGCATCAAGTGCTTTTTCGCTGCACTAGCAGACTACACCAGCATATCGGAGATGTCTATTTTCAATATTTAACAGAAAACACTGACAGTTAAACAGCAAAAATTGGTTCTACAGAATAATTCTTGGTCCTACCCAGTTACACATCTTGCAACAGCACATTAAAGGGGATTTGTCAAAATTTCTGCATAATTAAATGGTTAGGATTTAAACAAAGTCATTCAGAGTAGTTTGGTACAAAATGTAGAGAAATTTACTGAGTCAGAATTGTTCACAGCGGTAATGATTGGAACTAGACGTCTGAAAAGTTTAAGCCCTCTAAAAGCTACATCACAGAAAGTTATTATATTAAATGGTTATGAATACTCAGCCTGATGTTTAAGACACTGTTTTACTATAGTTTTGAGGTAAGTTTTGGCCTAAAATGTATTTTAATCAATGTATTCTAATCTACTCATAGTGGAGGGATACATTAATGGTGTTCTAAGGCAAAATAGTCCCCAAAGAAAACTTTTATTTTTTTTCAGATTTACCAGAATTTTAACATCATCAACATTACATACTAAAAACTCAGAAGACTTGTGTTCGCTGGTGGTTTTGGTTATTAAATAAAATGGCTTTATTTGTGTTCCAGACATCAGGACCCCTGGTTTCTATCACCACCACTGTAAATAAATCAGAGTCAGTAAGTTTCTCTACAAATAAACCATTTTGCATCAAACCACTCTGAATGACACTGTTTACATTACAACTACTGAATTATGCAGACATTTGGAAAAATTGGTGGATTTCCACTTTAGGAGGATGGACATAACATATGGGGAGACACTACAGTCCAGACACTACATGTTCATTAAATTAAAAAATAAAGTCTTAATATTAAAGTACAATTTATGTTTTGGATTAACAAAAAAGACTGTTTGTTCCAGCATCACATTTCTATCCATACATTTAAAGAGAGCAGCATTGGTTCTTTCCAAGAAAGTGATGTTGTTTCTTGACTATAACTGCTGAAAATAGATCCATCTTACATAATACATTGCTGAGCTTACACACAAACATCTCCAAGAAGCCTTAGTCCTGAAGACAAAGGTATACCAACATCTTTAATACCAATTTATAGGGATTCTTGAAGCAGTAATCCAATGAAATGTGCCATGTGACTGGACCACACTGCAGAAAAAGCTCAGAGATAAAAAAAATAAAAAAAGGTACACTCTGGTAGATGGACCTTTTACATAAACAGCACAAAGATCCCAAGACTTGAAACTTAATTGAATATAAAGTTAATAATGAGCAATAAATTGTTTTCTTCTAATCAACGGATATAGTAAGCATGCCTCCGCGCCAAAGCCAATCCTTTACCCAGGACAGGAACCCAAAGGAAAGAGCATTTGTACTGCTGACTTTATACACACTGAAGTGCTCAACGGATGTTTACAAGGCGTGTGGCTGTGTTCCTGTACATTCCAGCTGCTATGTCTCAGCTGGACGCTTCAATAATTCACACTGCGAAAGAGATTAGTCTTATTTCGCTGCACTGCCATTTCACATGTCGTCTGAGACGAAGACAAGATAACAACGCAAGTAACAAGATGTGGCCTGGTAACTTACATATAACATATTATTTACTTTGCTGAAACAAGTCTACAAACTTGTTTCTGCTGAGTTGGAGATTAGAGTGACTATCAATCAAACCATTAGAACACCTCAGAAGCACTGGATGTCGGTCTTTAAAGGCCACTGCTTAGCGCCCTCGGGATTCTATAAAAGTCCTGGCTCTGTAAATTGCAAAAGCTGAAAGAAAAACTTGTGTGACATGGTGCAGTACTGCTGGGAACTAATAGGCAAACAGCACTGCACCATTTTGCTTGCTTCATTAAATCTATATCACTATAATGTGACACTTACGGTGGCTCAGGGAGTCAACTCTTCCATTTTGATTATGGTGGTGAACCACAAGAGACAATCTTTTACCCATGTTACCTTGAATGAACCGTGCCGAACACTCATAGCTCGCATCCACGTTGTCATTCGATATTTACTGCATGTACCGACTCGGTTAAGATAAGCGTTTAAGAGATGCTACTGTATTTCCACAGTGTTGTAACTCGATGCCCACAGTGCCAGGGAGGAAGAATGAAGACCTAATAAAGTTATTATTCAGGACATGGATCAGTATGAGTCATCGCAAAACAAGACTTCAGGCCATTACATGAAAGAGGTAACTTGTGTATTAGGGGCAGTGGTAAATACAGAGACTGCTTGTATGAGTAAGCAGTATACTTCTATGTCCTGTCTGATTTCAAACAAAGCCATCTGCTCTGAAGAAACATCAAATAAAAAAATCAAAAGAAAAGAAAGGTTCAAAGGTCCGTGGGCAATCAATGCATCTCCGGGGAGTGTGATGCAGCTCATTTTTGTAAGATCTCTTGAAAGGTGGACACTGAAGACAATTGGCCCAGACTGTCTAGTCTCATTCAGAAAAGGAACTGTTTTGAGATTGACAATATCAACCACTGTGCTAACAAACACGTTTGGCCTAATCAAGGTCTTCTCTTCTCTTAAGTGTCTATACAATGTATTGATTTATATTACTGTGTCACAATGTGTTCTTATCTTGAAGCTGAGCATCTGGAACATAAATATAAAACAAATTTTCAAAAGTCTATTCACACTGTATTGAATGTGAAGACGGGGCATTGGTCATGCAAGTCTCCTTTGTTAAATTATAGCTAAAAACCTGATTCTTAAGCTCTGGGAAAAAGCCACCAGTGAGAAAGTGGTTTACAGAGCTGACTAATATACACTGGTAGACAACATGGTACGTTTTGAAGAATAAACTTAGGGAATTTGAAAAGAGTTGAAAGCCTTTGTTTTATATCTCATAAGAGGCCAATTTTAACAGTCTATTCATCTTCAGCTTGATAGCACTTGCAAGGAAAGTTAGAGGGAATATTGGATAGAGAAAAAAAAAGTTTTGTTTGTTTTACTATTTGAAATGGCATATAGTATATTGTGATGTTTATCACAACATACGATGTTGCATATGCTAATGGGAATAATGGAAGCAATGAACATGACTGGCCACTGTTTCAAAATATGCCAAAACTGCAATGGCAAAATGGGTACTGAATACTTGAACTATTCAAAAATAATTTAAGTAAAAAATTGTTTTATATAAAACAACAGGCTACATTAGCTACAGGTAACCGTTAAGCCTCTTTAAACATCCCCAGGAGGTAGTTTTTTTAAAACTGCCCATTAGCTTGAACTACAGCACTGGGCATCTTTTGTTTTCTATAATCGCTGGCCCATAGATTGTTGGGGAAAGGGGGGTCTGAGTGCACATTATCTTGCAGTGCATGTTGGGGACTGTAGTGCAGCACATAGTGAAACAGGCTAATTATAATAGAAAATTATACTTGGCTTGGCCTTCGGGCCTTGTGTTTGACATATGGGCCTTTACAATGTGGCTTCAAAATATGATGTTTCTCAATAAAAATAAACAGAATTCAATTCAGCTTTGTGTGTTAAAGGGGAAATGTGGTATGGCAGTTTTTGGATCCGATGAAAATGACCTCAAAAAAAAAAAAAAAAAAACAGCCCACCAGGAGATGTCACTGTGGTGTGAGACCTCAGGCCATGGCAAATCTCATTCAGCAGTAACAGCACCCTATTTGTTAAGTCTTTTCACCAACAACTGTTTCATTTTAACGGGCAGCTTCCCACAGAACAATGGATCTAATGACAGACATATGGTGATCGTCTTTATATGAAATACATAGGGGGTAAAACTTATTCGTATTTTTATCCTCTTTTTCATCTGTTACTAATCGTATAAAGTACTCAAACAAAATATATTCTGTGATTTGTGTACAAATGCACGACTCAGTTTGATCCACCCTCAACTGTATTAAGGTTCTATGCTTTTAGGGTAATTATTTTTACATCACAGACTGTCATGGACCTACATTTAAAAGATTAGACACTTTACCAGCATGCCGGCCTGACAGAAATCTTCAATATCAAACAGCCCAGAAGCCCCTGTAGCCACACACCTAAACAAGATGGTTCTTCAATGGTTCTTTAGTGAAAGCAATGATTCTATTTAGAACCATGAGTTCTGTATAGAATCATTTCGTGCTTAAATGGTTCTTTGTATGTTGAAATGGTTCTTCGGATTGCTGGAGAATGTGTTGTATATGGTTACACCATGGTTCTTTAGTAAAGGCAATGGTTCTATTTAGAACCATGACATCATTTTGTGCTTAAATGGTTCTTTGTATGTTGAAATGGTTCTTCAGATTGCTAGAGTATGTGTTGTATATGGTTATATAGAAAAGTTTTTTGAAAATGGTTCTATATAGCATTTATTTTGGTGCTATATAGAACCATATACAACACATTCTCCATCTGAAGAACAATTTCACCATATAAAAACCATTTAAGCATGAAGCTGTTCTATACAGAACTCACGGTTCTAAACAGAACCATTCTCTTCTCTAAATAATCCTTAGAGAACCATCTTTTTTAAGTGTCCAGCGTCCAAGACTGCAGCAGGGCTGACGAAGCCCTTTGGTGATCACTGTGGGCGTGAGGGATGCGATATCCACACGTAGGCGGACAAATGGACTGGGATTAGTATTTTAAAGGCGGAATAACAGCGCAAACGCCTCAAACACTAAACTTTTCCCATCTTCCATCTTGAATGAAGGATGAGTGAATGCACGTCAGACAGCGAGTGATTTCAGTCGGCTGGGTCACGTGACTGAATCTCGGTCGCTAACACGCACTCTCCCTCTCTGAGGATTTTTTTGAGAGCGGAGGTTTTTTTAACCGGCACTTGGAAGAAACGTTCAAGTGTCGCCCCGTTTAGGGCAGACAAGGCGCTCACCACAGCACAGAGCAGGACTGCGGGTTTAAAAGACGAACTTGACCAGTTTCCCGACGACGAAAAGTGAAATATTTTCACCAGACTGAAAGACGGAGAAGCCGAACTGCTGCTGGGTTTCGTCTCTCAGCCTGGAACAGTTTTGGGGTTCCGTTAACGTTGGCGTCGCTGAGGAAAACACATTTTTCACGTTTTTTAAAGTGGACTCCACACGCCAGGCAGAGTCCCCACACACTGTAAGCTGCCCTCAAGGAAAAAGGTAACCGTTTGTGAGCGGTAGGCTGGAGGTTTACTTCGACTTCTGTGGGATTTCTGCTGTTTAATCCACCCAAAATTTAGCGACCGGGGAGTTTTCTCTGACAGAACCGCCGCGGCGGCCGTGAACGTTTGTTTCTCCTCTGCTGGATCTCCTGTTACTTCGGTTTGGACAACTTTACCCGGACTAAACTGAACACTGAAGGCGAAACACGTCGGGATAACGTAGTCAGGCTACACAACGAACCCCTTTGGACTCGTGTTCTGTCATTTTGTTTCCTTAACCGGGCAGTACCGCTCGGCTGGGCTGTGTGAGGTGATCTGTGAGCCGGACTGGTGAACTGCGCTAGCCTGTTAGCTTTTATTTACCTCAGGGCTGCTGCGCGGGAAAAAACGCGTCCGCGCGACCTGAACACTTCCACTGTTTATGCCGCCGCCGTCTTGTTGAGCCCACTGTTTTCTTCTTCCAGTCTCGCCTGGTTCTGCACTCCGCAGCCTGCGTGCCGGGTGGAGACGGGTTTATCCCGCGATGTGTGGATTATGTGAAGCGGGCACATGGTTAAGAGACGCGTGGGAATCGAGAGCTCCTCGGTGCCTGTAACTTTTCTCCCCCGCAGGCGCGCTCTCTCTCCCTCTTTCTCTCTCCTTCTCTCTGTGTCTCTCTCCCTCTCTGGTCGTGGGAAGAGATTTGGCCAACGGCCTTTCTGTCCTCTTCGCCTCTTTATCCGGGTTTGCCATATTCCGTAATGGACGTGAAAGCCTTCGGCGAAGTTCCCCCCACATCCAGCACGTCCAGGTGATTTTTTTTTCCTCCACTCTCGGTTGGAATCCACCGCGGGACTGAAGACGAGTCGCTACTGCCGGCAGGTCGCGGGATAAACATTTCTGGAGCTGATCAGTATTAGTTGTTTCGAAAAACGGGATTTACTGGGGGAACTACGATGTCATTTGTACGGTCTTGCTTGGGAACTCTGCTGCTGTGTACATTCATTTCTGATGGTAAGTAACGTCGCTCGTTCTGTTTTTACCTCTGATTTTTTTATGTTTGTTATTTTGTCTTTTTTTTGACCAAATCAACATTTCAAGACGACGAAATTGCCCTTTTTAAATAGTCAGTGACAGCTGCAGTTTTTAAGTCCTGATTGGTGATTCCAAGCACACACATTCAGACATTCATGCAAACACGAAGAGCTTGAAGAAGCTGTAATGGCAGCTTTAGGCTGGAATGGCAGGTTTACATCTGTAGTGGTCATTGGTCACCACAATCTCACGCATTCAAAAATAACAGGAACGTGCAGCCTGTAATGTGTTGATCCAGCGTTCAGTTCAGTGTGATGATTGCGGTTGATGCTGTGGACCAAGCACAGCGACTCCCCACAAGGTGGGAGCACGACTGTATGAAGGCTGCTGCACTGTCGTAAGGATGTGTAGTCTACACTACATGCAGCAGGATAGTGAACTACATTTCCCCCATGCCCTTTTTACTGTTAACCAACAACATTTTAAGACAGGGAATGGCATATTAACTCCTGTCTCCATATTTTTGGAGTGTTATTAATTCTATTTTGTTGAAAACCACAATTTTATCACCACTGATGTCGCAGATAATGATGTTTGCTTGTGTAGGGGGGCCAATATAGGCTTACCCAAATTGTCATTTAAGCTAGATAGTTGAGATGTGTCCTGACTGTCAAGTAGAGAGGGATCAATATGCAGGCCACTTTACCTGTTTCCATGGGAGGCCCAACTTAAATTCCTTCAATAAAAAGGCATCTTGTGGTGATTTCCCATCTGACACGTCCTTATGACTGCGGTAGTTTTGTATTGGTGATTGTAGACCATTTCACTCTGAGTGAGTTAGGCTTTTAGGAGGGTACATCTCATTTGCAGGGAAGGTTTCTCATCCTGAACATGGTCACTCATGCAGCTTGCTTAAAAAAAGGGCTGCTTGCAAGTTGACACCTCATTTACATTGCAATTCAGTAGCACAAAGAAGTAAGACCTGCCCACGCACATGCTCTTTGATATATATTCTCTGATACAAAGGCTGTTGTTAGCAGACATTCAAATACACCGGATTTATCTGATGAGTTTTTATCTAGGTACCATGAATGTGCATAGATTTATATGTAGAACAATACTGAGAGAATATATTTCTGGGATTTGACCCAGCAAATTTGGCATTGGCATTGTTTCGTCTTTTTTTGAAATCGCAGGCCTGTCCTAACTAGTGAATTTAGGCTGCGGGTGTTTCGGAGATGAAAAACCATCTGAAATAACAGCTCCCAATCAAAACTCTTACTTATAAAATATGCCCTATCATGTTACATTGACGGTCACTGGCACTGGGGATGATGTGGCTTTGAACTGTTCTCTTGAAGTCTCCTTCAATTCCAGCCCTTAGCCGACATGGTTCCTCTGAAATTACAAAAGAACAAAAGGGAGTTTTATTAGGGAGTACAACATATGCCTTCTATCCTGAAGGGAATTACCAGATGACTTGACTATTAATGTATGTATCTAACTATGTCCAATTTGGAAGGCATCATAAACATGCTTGCAAGAAGATTATGGTTAAATATTAATCTGACACTTGCTTTCGACGCTATGTACTGTGGTTAGGATGGCAGTGTTTCAGGAAAAGTTTTGCAAAAAATCCAACCCATTACTTTTCTCTTTGAGGTCGATTAAGCAGTTGCAGTGTATGGTATTATTCTTACAAGTTACTACAGCACATCTAAACATGATACGTTATCCATTACAATAATTTCTGGTATTCCAGGGGCCATTTTTTTTCTAGGGGCCTAATGAAAGATGTCTCGTTTAGAAGTTACAGCAAAGGTACCTTAAAGTCAACATGAATAGATGGTCATTATGAATTTTACCTCTGTACCAGAACATATTTCTCAGTGAAACATATCAGGGAGGGTCTGAACTAGCTGAGCACTTTCACTCGATGATGATGGGAGTGGGAGGTGAAACATGATATTATTGATCAATATATGATATTATTGATCAATATAACTCTTCCTCACCCCCTGATGCATCATGACATATCCAAAAATTGGAAGATGTAACCAAAAATGAAAAACATTTTGATGGAAGATTACAGAAAAACAGTTTTGTCTGTTAAATGTTATATGGTGAATTGTGCTTAATATGACCAGGGACATGAACGAAAAGTGTAAAAGGTCAGTTTTGATTTGACTTAAATCACATTCTATTGTATGTTTACCTTTGTACACTGGCAGCAAAGTCTGCAATTGAAGGAAGTTTCTTATATTGCAGACAATGATTTTCATATATCACTGACAGTATAGCTGTGATGTAAAATCTGCAAAACTAATCTTTGACCCTGCTTCTAATTGAGCTGGCAATACTTCTTTCCTGGAGACGCCACCACATCACGTCAAAAAGGACCGTTCTCCCTTAAGTAGTACATGCAGTAACCATCTGGACTGACTTGCTCATCATTCATGTTTATTATGTCACCTGTCAGGTGTCCGGTTTAGGCATGCATGCTTTGACAATGACGCTGTGTCTCTGTGCATTCCCATTTGTAACCTAGGCAGCTTTTATATGTACTTGATGCTAATACAATGAGACAGTAAATTGGGCCAGTACAAGTACATCTCCTCCACTTTCAGTAATGACAGCCTTTCGGAGTGACAGACAGGCACCAGCCGAAAAGATCAAGGCATGAGTAAACATTGAAACATCAACAAACCTGAGACGACTTGTGCTCTCTAGGGACGGCTTGTTTGTTAATCCGCATGCTGTTGCACCTGTGCAGAGCTCTCTGCTTTAGCTTTCCGAGCTGCTTTTCCCACTCTGTGAAACCAAATCATCTGGAAAGGAATAGCTTTGTTGTGTTCTTGTGTTTTATTTATTAGTGTTCCAGCCGGCAAACACGGCTGGTATTTAGCATCGGCAGACCTCCGCTGACTAGATAGTAGGGACCCCTTTAGGTAGGCTGTTCCCAACCAAGCCTGTAATTATGCCTGACAGCACTACTAATTGGGCTGACATTTTATTTTTGTCACTTGTCAGTCCTGTTGCTGGACACATAGGTAGATGCTGTCAATCAAGCATTATATTGTAATAGTATTTGCTGTAGAAATGCTATTGAATGGGAACCTTGGGGCCCATGCACACAGTCATTTTCTAAGCACAACTGCATAGAAAATGTCTGTGTTGGTTTACTCGCAAAAGCTGTGCCCTCCATTTTAATTTTTAATGCTTAAAATGAAATGAACGGTGCCTTGTCTTGTCTCTAAGCACCCTGTTAACCTCAGCCATGATTCAAGACATTAAATGAAACTGCAGCTATAAACTTTAAGTTTATTCCTTTTTTACTGACAAAACATTGATCAGGTGATGTCTAGCTTAAAGGACTACAGATTAACCATAACAGGCAGAGTGAGTACTCTCGAATAAGTGCTTGCAATAAAGTGAAATTGACTTTTTTTGAGGTGTACATAGAGGAGGGTGGGGTCCAAAGTTGGGTACTAAGGTAGTGTTTCCATGACATCCTCTCCTGACACTGGTTATGATTCATAAAGTACTGTCAAATATTGAACAAATGCTCTGCAAATTACCTACTGCATGCTTGCCCTGCTTCTAGTCATTTCAGTCCTTTAGTCATTTTTATTCAATGGAAATTAGCTTAGCGCTTACCTTGAAATATGATATGCCTATGATATTTTTGTGTCTGTAACATTATGTTTATTAATGATGTCCATTAATAGCCATTTAAAAGTTTCATGAGTGAATCTATGTGTGCAGAAGAGAAAATCCTCATAAACAAGATGGAATATCTGAGCTGGCAGAATCCTTTTTGAAGCTTGGTGCTGAGAAAGGCATTTAAGTCTCAGATTAAGCCATTTGATTTTTCTCCGTCTACACTAACATCAGCTCCAAGCTGTGGAGCACAAGCAGGAGATCATGGCGCAATAAAGCAATGGCGTTAGGAGGCACTAGCATGCTGCCCCTGATTCGCAGTGAAAGGCATCTTTGTGGCGCGCTGGTTCCCTCAGACATAGCGTGACTGGAGACCCCCCACTAAAGGCTCAAGGGCTTAATGGCCTTGCTTCTGAAAGCATACACAGGTTGTTTACATGCATTGCACATTGGCCTTTGAATAGGAGACCTTGTAATCACAATTGCTCAATCATAAAGTACACCAAGGATGAATACATCTGCTTGTGTTTTCACATCAGCAGAAGATGGGTTTAATGCCTGGATGGGTGTACTCTACCGTCGTTAAAATGTTCTCCCATTGAGTTTTAAGTTGACCTCATGTCATGCAAGATAAATGGGCTCTCTGCAGGCAACTTGTCTGACCCATCTGTCTACCCATCAAGCCTGTGAGAGAAATGGTGAGCTGCATTGCCCCTCGTACTGTTTTGTTTTTGGTACCCAGTATGCAAACCATAACTCTCTAGTCATTCGGCTAAAGAGATCCAGTATCTCTTTGATAATAACTCCAAGAATTGCTGTGGACCACGTGGGGATACTGAGGAGGAGCATCCTAATGACAAATATGGATTGTTGACATCTATCAGATTATTTTTGGATATTCTTTGCCGTTTCAGAATGGCTGGCTGTATGTTTTTCAAGCTTTAATAAGTCTGTGAAATGGCTGACTCAGGAGGCTCTAACCTTTAGTTTCTGCTCTTGTTTCTACTCAACTGCTACATTCCCTCCAGCAGCACAGGATTAGTATCTTGACAAAAGAGATGCTTATTAATAAGAAAATTGTCTTTAGCTGCAGGAAAATGATAAAAGCAGACGAGAGGTTTTTTTTGTTAGTCTGCAAAATCTCTGTAAGGCTAGTAATTAGGGAGACCAGGAGAGTTTGCCGGAATGTGAACACAAATAGATTAGCTCGAAAAAATGCCTCTTCCCTTTTGGAGTAGAACTATCATTATCCTCTTCAACTTCAAAAGTGCAGTTGCTTTTAATGCTTGATTGTCTAAGGGAATAATGCTGTAGTCTTT